GCTCCTGTGCTTATTATTCTAACGTTTTAAACACTGAACCATAGGCTTTTCGTCTTATCGCTTGCGATCAGATATATTAACTAGGATGCAGGGCATCTTTCACCATATGCTGCAATCTTTTTTTGAGATACGTTTTTGTTTCGGCTGTGCAACGCAACGTGTTAGGGTACGTGAGATTTAGCTTCAACTGAAGTATTTTGGTGTGTAATCCCTACAGAAAGATTAATCGAAGTTTACTTCCTTGAAGACTTCTGTGATAATACTGTTCTCAGGGCTACCTTCGAAATACTATATAATTTAATTAGGCTCGGTTATCAGTGGACTGTACAAGTTTAAGCCTCTGAGGCTCTTATAGGCTCTGATCCTATGAGTATTGGACAAGTTCATAAATATCCTTTTGCAGAGCCTTCTTCTTGTATGGAAGCCATCGGTAGACATTCGTATGCATTCTCTCAATTTCAGTAATTACTTTTAATTTAGTTATTCATCCTGCAAACTAAAGTTTACCAGTTTTCTAATTCGATTATGTAGACGGTCTGAAAGACTCTAGCACCTTGATTTTGGTGCTACTCCAGTAATAGCCCCCCTTTTCGTGATACTGCCAAGAAACATTTTCCTCGTTATCCTATATTTTCAAATGTGCCATCCCATGACCTCTCCCGCTGTGATTCTCTTTCACAAAGCAGCCGGCTCAACTGGCTAACTGAGGCAACCGCATTCGCCCGTACTGAAGTGAGTCGTCTTCGGTCACACGATCTCTCCTCGTACCGGCCCTCTTTGATGGAACTGCGCGATCACTGCGTCCGATTCTTGGCCTTCTCCCAGTCCGTTGAGTCCTATCTGGCGCCCAGCCAGGCAGACCGCGAATTCCCACCAAGCCTTGACACTGATCTGGCCATTCTCGAGCAGACGACCCAACAGTGGCTGGACCGTCTCGTGACAGTAAGTTGTTTCACTTTGGCATCCAGACCTGCTGTGTGGCTTGACCAACTAGAAATATGATTTGACTGGTTGTGGCGTTTCCTTCATCCATACTAGCTTGTCAACTCCAATGAAGAATTGAAACAGGAGATCACAGCTTGGAGGACCGAGAAGACAGACACCTCTGCCGATGTCTTTACAGAAGACCAGGAGAAGCAGCGTCCAATGTCTAGCATTTCGTGGTGGCACAACGTCCTCCAAACCATCTCGGGCCTTAAACAACGAGTGCAGTCCCCGGGTCATCCCGCCTTGAAGCTTCTCGCTGACCTGGTTGCTCAAATTGAATCGATAGGTGTCCGAGCGTCTGATGGGCTGCCGCCTTGTGGGGCCGAAACTCACTCCATCTTGCCGTCATCCC